ACTGCATGATTTGCTTCTCTATTCTCTGAATGTTTTTGGAATTTATAACCAATTACATTCCAGATTTGTGTTGTCTTCAGATAGACAAGAACATCACTGATGGTAGGAGTAAATCTTATTTATTTTCTATTCTACATAAATCTAATGCTTTGTGTTGAGTATCCTGGATGATCAAAAATTACCTGTTCATTGATTAATTAAGAAATATGATCATTCATAGAATTATTTGCATTGATGAATACAAGTAAAGAGTATAGCTATCTATAGCCACTGAAACATGACAGAGTAGTATAGAAGAAAATTATATGCATTATTTGTAACATCAAAAATGCAATTGAAGTTTTTTTTAATTTTTATATTTGAGTTTAGTTGGCACACAATGTTACATTTGTTTCAGGTGTACAGCATAATGATTCAACTTCTCTATACCTTATGTTATGCTCACTATAAGTATAGCTACTGTCTGTCATCATACACTCTATTACAGTATCATTGACTATATGCTTGCTTTTATTCTTGTGACTTATTCATTCCATAATTGGATCCCTGTATCTCCTACTCTCCTTCACCCATTTTACCCATTATTCTACTCCTTCCTTCTGGCAACCATCAGCTTGTTCTCTGTAATTATAGGTCTTAGTCTGCTTTTTGTTTGTTTATTCATTTGTTTTGTTTCTAATATTTATTTATTTATTTTGAGATTTTATTTATTTATTTGACAGAGAGAGACACAGTGAGAGAGGGGACACAAGCAGGGGGAGTGGGAGAGGGAGAATCAGGCCTCTCGCTGAGCAGGGAGCCCGATACTGGGCTCTATCCCAGGACCCTGGGATCATGACATGAGCCGAAGGCAGACGCTTAACGACTGAGCCACCCAGGTGCCCTTGTTTTGTTTTTAAATTCCACGTTTGAGTAAAATCATATGGCATTTGCCTTTCTCAGTCTGACATTTCATTTAGCATAATACTCTAGGTATTATCCAATAATTCTACAACTGTGTATTTACTCAGAGAAAACAAAAACATGAATTTGAAAAGATATATGCATCCCTATATTTATTGCAGTATTATTTACAATAGCCAAGATCTATAAGCAACCTAAGTGTCCATCAATAGATAAATGGATAAGGGAGATGTGGAATGTATATGCCATGGAATATTATGCAGCCATGAAAAAATGATGAGATCTTGCCATTTGATTGAGGTTTTATATCCGTCAATAAAACAAACAAAAAAAACATGCCGACTGCATTTTAAACATGGTGTTTAACATAAACTACTAGTAAGTTTTAGAGTATTTGAGGAATTTACAATAGATATTATGTCATCACACTTTATCTTAAATAGATGTCACAGTTGCGCGATTGTATTTCCTGAATTCCTGTGTTTTCCTTTCCTAGAATGTGAGAACACTTGCAGAAGCACATTTAACTATAAATAAGTGTAGTTTCCAAATTACTGTTATCAAAATTAAGTTAAACTTCAGATTGAAAGTATTCCAAACCAACAAAAGCTGTTGCTTAGACAAATGAATACATTTTAGAACATGAAAAGAAAGAATATCAGATGTTCCCAAGGAGTAGAAAAATAATTTAAAAACCAGTAAGAAATGGAAGAGAGAACATGAAACAAAACATGAAGCAATGTGAAGGTGAGCTGTTCAGCTGTATTTCAGGTGTTTACAGCTTGGAATGGAATGTGCTCATATCAAAACAAATAGGAAGACAAAATTTTTCTTCAGATAACTATTCCAAATCATCAAATAAATGCAAACTATGAAATTATCAAATTGAATTAACCAAATGTATTGCAATGTAATGAAAGATAAGCAAATCTCTAGCTTGATAAATATTAGATCAAAGCTAATCTAAAATGTATAATATATAAATCAGTAAAATATCAGTACTATATCAGTGATTTTATAAGAACCAAAATATTTTGATAAATATTATTAATAATTATCCTGTATTTGTTTTTAGCATTTATTATATTATAAACAAACAGTATTAGTTAATGAATACAATCTTAACCAGTAATTTAATAGAAGCTTATTAAAGTCTAATTGAACATTTAAAAGTAACAGGAAAAATAACTTCCAAACCTCATCATCTACATAGAAATTCTCTTATTTTTAAGTTCTCACTATGAGTGCTCACAGGAAATTAATGAGTTTTGATGATCTATAGACTAATAACTCCTGAAAACTCATGGATGTTTTCTATGATGCATTTTTTTTTTCTCTTTTGCCCCTTATCTCTTCTGGTTTTATTATTATTGACCAATCTTTTATCTCTTCATGTTTATTGTTTTCCATTCATTGAATAAATATTTCTTGGGCACTTAGGATGAGTTATGCCCTGCTTAAATATTTGGGATACATCAATGAACAAACAAACCAAAATTCTGCATCATTGTCCTTTTATTCCAGTAGAAATAGAGAGTTAAAAAACATAATGAATAAGTAAAATATACAATAAATCTGAAGATGACAACTACTGGTGACAAAATAAAACAGAGTAGGAAGGATAAGGAATGTGGGAGATGAATTAAATTTTAAAAGATAAGCTAATCAGGTCACATTTAAGCCCAGGACCTTCTGCCTATTATGAGATATCCTTGCATTTATGCTTACAAATTGATTATATTTCTATAGTGTCCTGATTGTTTTTATTTAATTAACATTTAATATATTTGAAAATCTACTGAATTTTATTTTTCTCATATTTTTAAAATTTTAGGCAAGCTTTTACATATCTCTCTTTTTTTTTTAAAGCTGTTCAACTTTTTGTCAAACTGTAATGGTTTCTTTTGTTTCATAAAAGCAACATCTCTCATATTTGGAGAAAATCAACTACATATATTTTAAAACATTCACTTATTTCTTACAGAAATAATTTTCATCTACATCCTATTATTACTTAGTCATAAAAAATCTTTCTCTTTCATTTATGATATTTTATTTTGTAAAGGTTTTATTATTGTAATGCTCTTCTCTCGCTGTGAAACAAATTAAACAAACATAATAGCTTTAAACAACACATATTATCTCATAGTTTCTATAGGTTAGGGTTCTGGACACAGCTCAGCTGGGTTCTCTGCTTCAGTGTCTCACAAAGTTGCAATCAAGGTATCGTTCATGGCTGTCATCACATCAGGAACTTTTTGGGTAAAGATCTGCTTCCAAGCTTCCTCAGGTTGCTGGCAGAATTTACCTCCTTGTATCTGGAGGAATGCACTCCCATTCTTTTCCTGGCTCTTGTCAAGGGGCCACGTCTCCTAGAGGCTTTCCACATTTCCTTGGAACATGTCCCTCTCCATTGGCTCACTCACAACATGGCAGCTCATTTTTCAAAGCCAGCAAAGAAGAGTCATTGTTCTCATCCATACTAATGTGACCAAGCATATAACAGCATAACATAAACATGAGAGTGACATCACATCAACACTGCCATATTTAAGGCACAGAACCTTCCCATACTCAAGAGGGGAGGGCAGTCATATAGGGCATGAACATAGGACATCCTAGAATCTGCTTGCCATAATTATATTTTGTGAATATTTTCATTCAGATATGGTGATTTTCAATACTCATGGGGTGTCCTTAGCTCTCTTTACTTTCAACTTACATGTTTTGAACATTGATCTCTCAAATATAGTCCTCAACTCTAATTATTTGCTATAAATACCAGGCATCTAAATAATGGTGTGGATTGACCATTTGATCCTGTGACAAGACTAGAGAATAGATAGAGCTTAATAAACTTTCTCTTCCTAAGATAACAATTTAAAAAGTCACCTCTTGTTTTCATCTTTGCATTTTCATGCAACCATTTCCCTTTATGCTACTGTGAGGGCTAGGATACAACACATGTTATAAAATTCCTTCCCACTTTCTGTTTTATTATAAACATAAATGCCTCTAAATGGTTGCTAAATTATAATTAATTACAAGAATTTATAAGAAATATAAATTATAAGAAATCCTGATAATGTAGAGTTGAACCTGTAAACTGGGAGTTGAGATTTGTCTCTAGCTGATTTGAAAGATAGCTCCAACATACATTAGGTATGATTTCTTTGTATTCTAGTTATTATATCCCTTGCAGTCTCCAGTTAGTAAGAAACAATGGAAATAAATCAAAGTCATCTTTACCTACACTGGAGCCTCTTACCTAAATATAAATGAAAGTGTGGACCTTATAGTTGAATTTCAATTATTGATGTGGTTAATAGAAATTTTCCTCAGGAATTTTCACTTTGTCTTCACTTGCATTTATTTGGATTTTCCTTTATTATATGTCATCATGGTTAATACAAATGTAAATTGAGAGGGGATACATTAAGTACCATATGAAACTGGAATTTTTCCATTTATTGTTTGACCCTATTTTAGTAATACAAATTGTATGTGAGAATGTTTAAATTTAATCAGTATTTTCAAATTTGCTATTTTACCATTCTTTATCAGTGTTTTAAAAGCTCTATTTTTTATATCCATTTTCTCATATCTTTTCATTTCTATATCAAGTGATAAATTATTATTATTATTATTATTATTTAATTGCCTATGTATGTTTCAAGTTTAATGATTTGTGTGATTTAATTTTATAATTACAAAGACCAAAAAAAGCTTAAATTTATTTATAAATCAACATTACAGATAGGGCAAATTAATTGAGATTACATGGTCTGAACTTTTCTGTTAGATGCAAACAAGAGCAATTTCAATCAGCAGTGGTAAGAAACTATCTCATTCACTTCTCTTTCATATTTATATTAATAAATTCAATAATTAATTTGGGATTAACCATTAAGGTGGATTTTCAACATTTTAGTGTTTGATGATTTTAAATGCTTCAAACTAGACTTTTAATGTTAAAATTGAATGAATTTAGTTAAACTTTACAGCATATTGATGTTACTGATTAGATGAAATGATCCTACTATTCACCTGAAACCAGATGAGTTCATTCATTAGAATGATCTTCTTTCCTTTATATTAGGTGTATGAACAGGGAAACTATGAAGTTGAAGGTAAGCAGAAGTCGAAATTAAGAATTAAAAATATACCTTTGTGAAAAAATGTAATTTTTTATTTACAAAACTAAAGGCATTATGTAGTTTCATGGGCTTTTGAGGAATATAATTCATATGGGGTGGAGTGTTGAGTGGATCTATTAAAATTTTTGTAAGAACTACGGATTTAAGATAAAAAACAGTGTTACAATGCATAGTTCCTTATTTTTTTCAAATGACATTTTTATTCAGAAATTTAAAATGTACATTATTTCCTCTAATTTCTCAGTCATTACTACTTTACTAGCCTGGAAAATATTGTGACCATGTGCTGTTCTTGCCTTGAGTACATCATGGTAACCACAGTATTTAAGTAGATGTTGGCAGCTTTAACAGGAAAGCACAGCTAAGAAAAGGAAGTAGATATTTTTATGTCTTTCATTACTCTGATTATTTTTTGATAAAGAAGTATTTTTTTAGTCATCAAATGATATTTGCTATAAATAGTATTATTCATTATTCTGGTCTGATCTCTAAAAAAAAAACCCTGTAATATGTGTCACTAAATCTAATAACCTTTAGGACTGAAAAAAATTAACTCTATGTAATTGTCTTTCAGGGCAAGTGTTCAGCTATGAGAGGACCAGAAAACCGCTAAGGTATTTCTCTACTTTCACTTTACCTGATATTATCTCTATTTCTATTTGTATTAACCTTAACCTTAACTTGAAGAGTTATTAGGTAATCATTCTGAATTGTTTGTAATTCTTTTTAAAGAAAATTGACCATATTTTAAACTCTGTAGTTTCTGGAAATTAAATGCCAACTTATATTTCCATACAGTTCACATGGATTCTGGAGAACTATAATAAATTGAGAGTGAGTGAAAAATACGAATATATGCCACATTCATATACTCACATTCTGTTGAAAAAATTGTTGCCTCACAAAAAGTCTTTAATTTGTACCAAAAAGGAAATCTTTGCTAGAATGACAGGAAAACAGAAAGAAGACATAACACATGAAAGAAAAGTGGGGGGAGGAATTACTACAGAGGCAGTAGAGATGAGAGAGATAATAAGAGAATATTATCACTGACTGCTTGCTAGCCATTGGTAAGCCTAAATTTAAATGAAGAAATCTTAGGAAAAAAGTCAATAAAAGTTACCAAAAGGAAATAAAAAACTTGAGCAGTCTTATAAGCATTTAATAAATGTAAGCAGTGGTTAAATAACTGCACGTAAAGAAAATAGCAGACTCAGATAATTTTATATGAGAAATTCATCTAACTTCAAGCAATGCTCATTTGATTTTATATTATCTTTTTGAATAAATAAACGACTCCTCATGACTCTGTCAGTGAGATCAGCTTTATGTGATAAAACCAGGCTAAAGCATCACAGGCAATTTCCCTCAAGTATCAAGTTGCAAAATTTGTAAAAGAAAAAAAAAAGATAAATTCAACTGTGATTCTAAAGATAATACATAATCATTAAATCTATTTAATCCCATTTTTCAAGGTTGATGTTTTATTCCACATATCCATAAATGTCATTTGTCACATTAATACATCAAAGAAATCCACCCTAAACAGGAAAATATTTGAAATGGTAAGATTTATACCCAGTGCTCATCACATCACATGCCTTCTTTAATGCCCATCCCCCAGTTGCCCCATCCCCCCACCTACTTCTCTTTCTGCAACACTTAGTATTTTTTCCCAGGGTCAAGAGTCTCTCATGGTTTGTCTCCCTCTCTGATTTCTTCCCATTCAGTTCTCCCATCCTTCCCCTATGATCCTCTGCACTATTTCTTATATCCCACATATGAGTGAAACCATATGATAATTGTCTTCCCTGATTGACTTATTTCATGTAACATAATCCCCTCCAGTTCCACCCATGTCATGCAAATGGTAGGTATTCATCCTTTCTGATGGCTGAGTAATATTCCATTGTATATATGAACCACATCTTCTTTATCCATTCATCTGTTGAAGGACATCTTGGCTCCTTCCAAAGTTTGGCTATTGTGGACAATTCTGCTATGAACATTGGGGTGAAGGTGCCCCTTCATTTCACTACATCCATATCTTTGGTATAAATACCCAGTAGTGCAATTGCTGGGTCATAGGGTAGCTGTATTTATAACTTTTTGAGGAACTTCCATACCATTTTCCAGAGTGACTGCACCAGCTTGTGTTCCCACCAACAGTATAAGAGGGTTCCCCTTTTTCTGCATTCTAACCAACTTTTGTTGTTTCCTGTTTTGTTAATTTTAGCCGTTCTAACTGGTGTAAGGTGGTATCTCATTGTGGTTTTGATTTATATTTCCCTGATGACAAGTGATGTGGAGCATTTTTTCATGTGTCTGTTGTCCATTTGTATGTCTTCCTTGGAGAAATATCTGTTCATGTCTTCTGCCCATTTCTTGACTGGATTTTTGTTTTGTTTTGTTTTTTGGGTGTTGAGTTTGAAAAGTTGTTTATAGATCTTGGATACCAGCCCTTTATCTGATATGTCATTTGCAAATGTCTTCTCCCATTCTGTAGGTTGCCTTTTAGTTTTGTTGACAGTTTCCTTTGCCATGCAGAAGATTTTAACCGTGATTAAATCCCAATAGTTCATTTTTACTTTTGTTTCCCTTGCCTTTAGAAACATGTCTTGCAAGAAGTTGCTGTGGCCAACGTCAAAGAGGTTGCTGCCTGTGTTTTCCTCTATGATTTTGATGGATTCCTGTCTCACATTGAGGTCTTTCAACCATTTGGAGTCTATTTTTGTGTGTGGTGTAAGGAAATGGTCCAATTTCATTCTTCTGCATGTGGCTGTCCAATTTTCCCAGCACCATTTATTGAAGAGACTGTCTTTTTCCACTGGATATTTTTTTCTTGCTTTGAAGATTAGTTGACCATAGAGTTGAGTGTCCATTTCTGGGTTTTCTATTCTGTTCCATTGATCTATATGTCTGTTTTTGTGCCAATACCATGCTGTCTTGATTATCACAGCTTTGTAATATATCTTGAAGTCAGGAATTGTGATGTCTCCAGCTTTGATTTTGTTTTTCAACAATCCCCTGGCAATTTGGGGTCTTTCCTGGTTCCATACAAATTTTAGGATTGTTTGTTCCAGCTCTGTGAAAAATGTCGATGATATTTTGATAGGGATTACATTGAATGTGTAGATTGTTCTGGGTGGCATAGACATTTTAACAATATTTATTCTTCCAATCCATGAGCATGGGATATTTTCCCACCTCTTTGTGTCTTCCTCAATTGCTTTCATAAGTGTTCTGTAGTTTTTAGAGTACAGATCATTTACTGCTTTAGTTAGGTTTATTCCTAGGTATCTTATGGTTTTTGGTGCAATTGTAAATCAAATATTAAAATTTCTAAAACTCTATCAGATTCATAGGATTTGGACTGGATTCACAGGTTGTCATATATATGTATGTATATGAACACACACACATACACACCCACACACAAACATATGGAAGGAAATTTGGCTGCATAAAGGAGCATAGACATACAACAGTAGTGACATGCAATGAAAGCATAACGTACTTTTCATCATAAAATAGAAGCAGAAGCAGAGTTTTAGAAAAGTTCAATGTGATCCTTTGATTTCCCATTATTTCACAATCATGCTCAGGCTGGCATGGTTATATGCAGCAGGGAAAGTTTTCCAAGAAAGCAAACTGACTGTATGACATGTTGAGTATTTAGAGGGAAGTTGTAATTGAATCAAGAAAAGACATTGGGGAGGGTATGTGCTATGGTGAGTGCTGTGAATTCTGTGAGACTGTTGAATCGCAGACCTGTACCTCTGAAACAAATAATACATTATATGTTAAAAAAAAAAAAAAAAAGATAGCAGGAAGGGAAAAATGAAGGGGGCGGGAATCGGAGGGGGAGACAAACCATGAGAGACTATGGACTCTGAGAAACAAACTGAGGGTTCTAGAGGGGTGGGGGTTGGGGGATGGGTTAGCCTGGTGATGGGTATTAAAGAGGGCATGTACTGAATGGAGCACTGGGTGTTATACACAAACAATGAATCATGGAACATTACATCAAAAACTAATGATGTAACGTATGGTGATTAACATAACATAATAAAATAAAATTAAAAAAAAAAGAAATGACTAGTACATTAGTTACCAAGATTCCTCTTTGTGAAAATGGCTTTGTTGAAAAGAATATGACTCTGAGCCTCAGACTCTGGTATTATCAGGTTTTATATTCCTTAGGCTAATCTAGACCTAGAGAGGTAGAATATTTCTAAACTACCATTAGGAAGTAAGAAATAAACCTCTCACTTTTTTTTCCTCACACTCTGGGGGAATTTAGAGACAGTTAAGTATAAAGAAATATAAAGGATTAGGGGTGTTGGCTTCAAAAATGAACCAAAAACATAGGGCAATAACTGATGTAGAAAATGTGGCCACAATAATGTATTTTTTTTCTAATTTGAGGAATAACAGGAAGTTTGTTAAATGAATAGAATCATTTAGTACAAGGCAAGTAATTGATAATATGAGAGAGAGTAGAGAATTCTAAATCACTGTTCTTAACAAAAAACAATGGGATTTATTTTTGAAATTGAAAGAATAGTTTTAAAAAGGATCAGTTTTAGAATACCTAGTGTGTAACAGGCAGTGAGGCAAAATAGTTGGGGAAGTCTTTAGTAAACTCGTAAATGTGATAAAAGGTCACTACAGGCATTCTCTTCTGATGAATTAAATTTTCTCAGTGAAATAGAAAACATGATGTTGCAAGTAAGGATGGAGGAAAAGTCTTAGGGGCTTAAAGAGGAAGGAGAAGATGTGGAATAGTGGTCTTGTAAAGTGGAAGAACATATGGAGTAGGGATGTAAATAATATTTTCTGTTGTCACATCTGACATCCAGACCATGAATTAGGAATGAAACTCATCATTATAGTCTTGTAGCTTTCTCCAGGAATATTCAGCCAGATAACTCCAAGCACATATCAGAGAAAGAATTGAACTTAATCATATTTTTTGTTTTTAAACTAAGAAAATAAAATAAGAAAAAGGAAAGATAAAAATGTTCCTATGCTCCAAACTCAAGAAAGGAAAAGATTGATTATTCTGTTGCAACAAGAAAATAAAAACAAATAAAAATGACATCAGTGCTTAGTTTAAGCCCATTCTAATTGATCACTGACAACTCTACATCAATTACTAATACTCTGAATGCCATCCAACTAGTGGCATTCCCTCACTTCTGTAAGCTCATCATCAATCAGCATCAGTCACACCTCTTTAACTATACTTTATCTGTTGAAGTTCACCATTCCCAAATATCCTTGCTTCTGAAACCCCAAATTCTACATAAGTTTTACAGTTTGCTTCATTCAGATGCATCGTGTTCTACAAATGCAGTTCTCCCTTGATTAGAATCAATAAATCTAGCTTTTTTGAGTAATGTCCTTTTCCTTCAATAGGGCAAGGGAGTGGAAAGTATATATATACAAGAGAGTGATTATAATGATTTACCACTAAGTTTAAATTGAGCAGAGTGGAATGAGAAACTTCAAGGAAGTGAAGAACGGTGCTAAGGGAGTAGGAGAACAATTATTGGAGTCATAATTCAGAAAAAAAGCAAGTTGAAAATATAGTGGTTCCCAGGTTGGCATACATGAATTTATGATTATAGCAAGTTTTCAGTTGTATGCCCTTGGAGGGAAAAACTGAGGTAAGGAAGAGGACATGATCATACATCAAGCCAGGAACTAAACACATTAAAAAAGGAGATATCCTGCTGGTTGGTACATCATGCCAACAATAGGTTTCATGTATAATATAATCTGACAACATAAGATTAAAAACTAAGGGCCCCTACTTGACCACTGAGGATTAGAGAAAGATTACTTGGAAAGTGACCATGAGATGCAAGAGATACCTCTTAGCTACATCTAAGTTCAATGGCACAAGAATTAAGGGGGAAAATAAGGAAAACAATTTAGAGGGCTTTATGAGAAGTGTTTTAAGGAAAGAAATAGATTTCCAGAGCAGGAACTTGAAGGAAATATCCAGAGAAGAGGTGGAATATATTATACATTTTTCTAGTAATGGACTGTGAGAGGTTCAGGAGTTGGGGAATGTTAGGAGGATGTGGGAAACAAAGAATATGAAGAATTACAGGGCTAAAATATGGGAAATGAGGATTGAGTTGGTGGGTCTGGGACTTCTGATAGCTGAAATAATCAAGTATAAAAGATACAATGAAACTAGTCTTGGTGAATTGCAGTAATTACTGTGCACACTATAGGAGAGAAAGATATGTCTGGGGCTTCCCTTTCATTCCTATGTGAGTACGAAGCCTTAGCTTTTGTTCAAGTGCTAGGTTCCTTCTTGCCTTTTCTTGAGGGAAGGACAAATTTACTTTGTTTTTCTTAACTCTGTGGGTTTTTTTTAATGATTATTTATTTATTTATTTGACAGAGAGAGAGAGAGAGAATGAGCACAAGCAGGGGGAGTGGTAGGCAGAGGGAGAAGCAAGCGGAAGCATGCTCCCTGTTGAGCAAAGAGCCCAATGCAGGACTTGATCCCAGGACCCTGGGATCATGACCTGAGCTGAAGGCAGATGCTTAATCAACTGAGCCACCCAGGCGTCCCTATTTTTCTTAACTCTGTTGATGGAATTGAGTCTTCAGGACATGGTAAATGTTACCTTGACCAACTGTACCCCCTTCTACTATCTTTCTTCAAAGTCCTCATAGTAGTCTCTATAATAAGTGAATAATATTTTAAAATTACAATATGAAACACTAATTTTAGGAATTGACATTGCCAGAGTCTTTTACATAATCATTTATACAGCTCAGTAAATTTTGAGTTTTTTTCCTTAAAGAGGTTCATACGTTTTAATTTTATTTTGTGTATCAAATAGTCTATCTGTTGAATGAGATACAAATACACACATACAATATAGAAATTCACATTCATTTTGTCTGTTTCTCTCTCATTCTTGAGTATATATAGAGAATATTCTTAAAGTGTAGAGTCTATGTGTTAGGAGACTATTGAATTTTGTGTATCATCTTATGTTTCAGCAATATGAAAATAGCTTACTCTAGATAGTTCTCTATTCATTGTAGATTACAAATGAATAGTTTTATACATGTCTTATTGCATTTAACAGAATAATGACGCTTAATAATTATGATATCTTGATAGTCTATATTTATCAGAAGAGGTAAAAAAAAAATCAGCTGATCAGTCAGAGGTCAGGATCGTTATTGATTTTCTCCACTAGGTGGACCACATCTAGTGCAGCAGATACAATTGGATTTACCCCATGAAACAGTTTATCACCCATGTCATTCTTCAACACTTGTTTTTGTCTTTGCTAAACTTAAGAATTGAAGAGACCTCTGATTGAAATTGAAACCTCTGCATCTGTAATGATTTTCTGGTAGAATTAAACTTTGTAACCTCCTTGAACATGTTGTATTGGTATTGACTGGCTACTTTTGTTGGGTATGGCAGCATTAGGATCTTCTACTTCATAGTTCTTACTATAATAACCTTTTCTTCATGAGATAGAATTCTACTGTGAGCATTTTTGCCAGTTGCTCAGCTATCAGTTCTTATTAAATTTGCAGGAAATGGGCCAATAGTAACTGGTGTATTTGCAGACTTGCCCCCTAATCCTGTGAAGTAAAATTTGGCCAAGACACTCTCCCCCAGCCCCACCCACTCTCTTTCTGTGTCTTTTTGGAGACAAAACCAGCAGCCCTATATAATATGTTTTCTAAATTCAAGTTTCTTCTCCTATAGTTCATCCCACTACAGATGCAGGTGTTATCTGGCCCCTTCTGGGTCATTCTGTTGGGATGGGGACCCAGGGAAGCAATACAAAAGAAACAAGATATTGCACTGGCTGCTTCCCACCCCATCCCCAGGGCTCCCCTAATGAGTAATGAATAGTTTTTAATCTTATTCAAAAATATGTATTTCCTGTGAGTCCAGGTATGTTTTCAGTGTATAGGTCTAATATATATTTTGTTGGGTTACGCCTGGTATATTTTGAAACTATTGTCAATGCCATTTTTTCTTCAATTTTTGTTTGTCTTTAATATTGGTAAATACAACTGATCTTTGTATTTTAAGCTCATATTCTATAATCTGGCTAAACACACTTATTAGTTCTATTAGCTTTTT